CCCTCTCTTGCTGAGTGACTGTGGGCAAATATCTCTACCTGGGAACCTGAACCTCAGATTCCCAAACTGTAAAGTGGGAACAATAATACTTTACAGGAGCATGTGAGAAACTCAATAAGAATTTAAACAAACATGAAAGGGACAATAAATACAAATATAGAGCAGTATGCGGTATGCAATAGGTGCTCAATAAGTATCTGTTCCCTCCTGTGGAAGCTGCCTGTCCACACTTTAACTCTCGGGGTGCACTGAGGTTGAGGGAGGGGTGAAGGGCTCACCCAGGCCCCAGGGCTGGATCCAAGGTCTCCTGGCCCCTGCCAGGGAACAAGGGAGAGGAAAGCTCTGGCCCTCAGTTTCGCCACCTATAGACTGAGAGGGCGGGACTGATCTGGGGTTTCCGGCTCGGATCTGGGTTCTCGGGGGTCAGGCTGGGGTCAATGCCAAGCCTATGGAGCTCCAGGACCATCCGTCTAGCTCGCCCAGCCCGCTGTCTCGGGGCACACAGGAGACGATTTGAACTTAGGTCCCAGCTGCCAGCCTCAAACGCGTGGAAACTCCTAACTTGTTTGTTTCCGGGGGTCCCAGCAACGCAGACCATCTGGGACGGGGACCCCTCCCCAAAGCCCCATCCATGCAGACCCTGCACAGCCCCGCCTGGGTCAGGGTGGGCTCAGCTGCCGGGCAAGGGGTGAGGGGGCGAGAAGAGTGACTCCACCCCATCCCCGGCCAGCTGGAGCCCGGGCCTGGGATGCTGGTTCCACTGGCAGTTAAAGTCCCCCTGGTTGTCTAATTTAATCACAGCTGTGTGCACGGTGACTCTATAAATAATTTTTAGTGCGACATAACCATTATTTCACTAATTGCTTCACGCGCACCCCTGGCCTGTGAGATAAATTAAAGTTTGCTGAGTCAGCACCTTTGGCTGGTACGGCTCTGGGGCTTGGGAAGTGCAGCCCCACAACTGGGCTGTTCCCACACCAGCCTCAGCCCGGCACCCTGAGGGGAGGGCGCCCCTCACATGAAGGGGCCAAGGGTGGAAGGAGTGAGGAGGAAGGGGGAGAGAGGAGCTAATAAGGGTCGCCGTGTACAGCTGTACAGGTTGTAGCCTGTGCAGGGGTGCTTAGCCAAGGGGCCATACTACATTGTATCAATCCATGTGGCCTGACATGGGGTTTTGTTGGTCCAGGGGAAGGTGGTGTCTTTTGTAATTAGCACAAAGACTCGGTATGAAGTAGCAGCCCCACGTAGCTGCTAACACCCAGGTAGTCGGGACCACTCAGGATATGCCTCAGGGACACTTCCTATGCCACCCACAGCGCAGAGACCTGCGTTCTAGGTCTGATGCTGAGTGACCTTGAGCAAGTCACCTCCCCCCTCTGGGTTATAATGTCTGCATGGTTTATGACCTTGAACCTGGACGCCGTGTTCTTTCCTGTGCCTGGCAGATTCCGAAGGTAGTAGGGGGTGGCTTGAAAAGAAGGTTGGGCTGGTCGGGGAAGTCCGGGAAGCACGGAGCCCTTCCTCACGCAGGGCTCTGCAGAGTCTGTGTTTGCTCAGGAGCAGTGCGGCTCCCACAGAGGCCACAGGTGGCGTAGCTTTTCCTGAACGCGTTTGGCCACGGAATCCTTTATTTAAGGACTCGTGTTCATGCTGGGATCCTAGTATCTGGGGTTATTAACGGGTGAATTTCATCCCCAAGGACAGAGAATGCTTCTGTTCCCAACCATGACTCTGGACTCAGGCCAGGTCCTGATGTGTCACCCACGAGCAAATGTGGACTTCCTTCCAGTCCGTGAAGCGTGGGAGGAATTCTGCGTGTCCTCAGCCCACCGGACTCCAAGATCCTTGCAGGCAGGCGCTATGTCTGCCTTACTTACAGCCATTTCTCCAGGGCTAAGCCCAGGGACTATCTGCTGAGTGAAGAGATGAGATAGATACCTGGCTTCACTGCCGCCCTCGGCCATCCTGAAGGGCTGAAGTGAGGCTCCGATGCAGTGGTGGATGTGAACGCGTGCTTCCTACAGCAGGAGTCGTGGCAGATTGGTCATTATATAATCTTGGTCATTATGTGACCTCTACCCGCCTTGCTCCCTGTGCACGGCTGGGCTGTGGTCGGGAGTTCACGGCCACTGCAGACATGGGCCTTCCATGCATCTAGGACACTCTTGTCCTCGCAGCACTATGAGAAGGGATTATCCTTGTCTTGTGAATGGGAAAAGTGAGTTTGGAGAGGTAACCTGGCTTACCCAAGGCTGCGCAGCTGTAATCCACAGAGCCGGGATTCGAACCCAGATCTGTCTGACTCCGAGACATGTCCTTTCACTCCACTCCCAACTCATTGGCTCCTCTGTTACCACCTTGTTCTCCCCCCATCCTTTCTGGGCAGGGTGGTGAGGCGGATTATGAAGGGATGCTAGCTTGAGCAGGACTGTTGGCCTCACAGTCAAGCCGTTTTGCTGTGTTCACAGTGACAAGGGTGCCCAGTTGGTGTCTGCCACGCACCTGGCACTGAGCTGGCTGCTGCATAACAGTGGGTATTTTCCCCCACTGAATCGCTCAAAACCCGTGGTGTAGGAAGAACCACCTTCATTTCAGAGATTGAGACTGAGGTTTGGAGCAGTTACGTGACCTGCTCAACCGCATGCAATTAAGAAACAAGCGGCCAAGCTGGAATCCCACCCAAGTGGGTCTGATCCCAGAAGCTGGCTAAGTCCCCGGGCTCTCAGGTAGCTGAGAAATCCATGGCCCCGAATATCCAGCCCCAGTCTGGGAGGGGTGATCTGTCTCTTCCTTGGCTCCAGGGTTGGACGCATCGGGTCCCTCTGCAATAACTGCCGTCGAGATGTCCCCACAGTGCGTCATGGCCTTTGGGCCTCTCCTTTCCCGATACAGGGACTCGTTTACGCCTCTTCTCCCTCGGGAAGGCGGGCACAGCCAGTCTGCTTCACGCCCCATCACCCCACCTGTTAGCGTGGCTGCCCTGGGGACAGTGACCTCCCCTGCACTGCTGTTCCTTCCCAGGATGAGCCCGTCACCACCAGTCACAGCCAAACTCCCGAGTGTGGCCTTCAAGGCCCCTTGCATCTGCCTCCAGCCTCCCTACCTTTCCAACCTCATCTCTTGCTTGTTCATTTATTTGAAAAAATATTTGTTGATCACCTACATGCCTGGCAGGTGTTCTAGGTACCGAAGATACGGCAGAGAACAGAGCAGATAAAATCTCTGCTCTCCTGGGAGCAACCGACAGTGAGCCAGTTAACAAATAAATGTATGATGCCAGGCGGTGAAAGGGACTTAAAAGAAAAAAAAAAAAAAAACAGACCCCCCTGACCCCCCGCAGGGGATCTATAGATAGAATTTAGGGGGTCAGTGTGGTTAGATGGGGAAAAAAGATACATGTAGTGAGATGAGAAAAACGTGTAACTGAAATATAGCATTTCTCTTCAATTATCCTTGTTGGCGACATCCCACGGTAGTATTAGCAGTGCCTGTGACTTTGTCACTAACAGAAATCAGATGTTTCCTATCACATTACAGTCGCCGCATACATTTCAAAATATCATTGACACTCATCACTGCTTCAAAACCGTGGTAGTTAATAGAACCGCTGCTGGATCTTGTTGTTTAATGTGTTAATAAACAGACACACACAGTACTATATCACACATTGGTTTTGTAAATATTTTGAAAACTATTTCAATGTAATTGGCTGCCTTTGTAAATCTATGTATTTTCTTCTATGAGTTTAAAGTCATTATTTTGAGAAGGGCTCCTTAAGCTTCGCCAGATGCCGAGGGGTCGGTGGCCCCAAATGCATTAACTCCGGGAGTGCGGCGCTGGGAGGAGGGTGGCTTTGCAGGTGGAACGGACAGGGAAGCCTCTCTGGGGAAGTGGTATTTGATCAGCAACCGGAAGGAGGCAGAGGAGCCGCCACGTGAAGGTCTGGAGTCAGGTTCATTGCGGGCAGAGGGAACAGCAAGTCACAGGGCGCTGGCAGGGGAAGGGGCCACCAGGGCGGCTGAGGCGGCCAGGGCAGAGTGACCAGCAGGGGAGGAACGGAGGAGCAGGGACCGCGGTGACATGACGTAAGGCCTCGCAGGCCTGGGTAAGGACTCGGGAGTGTGTACCCAGCGAGGTGGGGGATACTGGAGGGTCTGAACGGGGGGGCAGTGTGCAGATTTATAGATGGGGATGGTCACTTTGGCTGTGGGGCAGAGCATGGGGCGCTGAGCAGTGGGTAGGAGGGGAAGTGAGCAGACCAGACACGAAGCAGCTGTAGCCATCGGTGAAGGAGGACGGAGGCTTGGACCCGGGTGGGAGCAGGAGATGTGGCCCCATTCGGGACGCATCTTGAGGCAGAGCCAACGGGAGGAGTGGGGGACTGGTGGAGCCACGGGCTGCCGCCCTCCTGGCTGTGGCCCGCGCTGGTGCCTGTGGCACACTGCCCTGCGTCCACCCTGCGTCTCACCCACGTGGCGGAGGCTGCCGGCTGCATCCTCTTACCCCTTTCCCTCCGTCTCGGAGGGATCCTGGTGTTATCTGGGGGGACGTGCCCAGCTCAGGGGCCCGCATCTCAGCCCCTCTGCAGCTTGTGGTTGCCTTGGAGACAGAATCACAGGGTGGGCTTCCAGGAACCGGCTTTCCATGGGAGGTCGATGCCTCCGCCTGCCCCTCTTCTTCCTCCCTGGAACGTGGACTTGATGGTTGAAGCCCCCGACCCCCAAAATCATTTTGGGGACCATGGGGCAGAGGCTAAGGGAATCCCAGTGACCTTGACCCTGATATTCCAGACTCCAGGAGGGGCTGAACCCCCACGTGGACTTCTCACCATGAGAACAGCCTTTATGAGCTCAAGCCATTGCAGCTGGGGCTTGTTAGTAGCAGCAGAGTAAAATTCCCACCTGGTACGGCTACAAAACCAACTGCTTTTTGGAATCTGCATCTGAGTAACAGCCCCTCCGTCTCGGCATGTCTAATGCTGGCTCTGTCGTCTCTCTCAGGGAACTCCTTGCCGGGGAACCCGGACATCTGTGAGAAAAGAGAAGCAGCGGCACGAAAGCTGCACCTACGTCCCCATCTGTCCACCCTTCATCCGTCTCTCCGTTCATCTGTGCACCCGTCCATCCCTCCGTCTGACAAGCCTTCCCTGAGCACCTACTATGTGCTGGGCCCGTGCTGTTCACAGGGGCTGGAGGTGTGAGTAACATCTCTAATTGGACGCCCACTTGTGCCCGTATGAACTGAACATCTCTGGAGGGAGACACCGGATGCTGGGGACCATGACTGTCCCTGTGGAGGGAAACCGGGCACCCAGAGACATGGGTATTTACTCGTTTTGAGTGTTTCGAATTCTGTGTCATGTATGTGCGCTTACTAGCTAAATGATTTTTAATTAAAAATATATGTACATCTCATTTGGATTTTGAGCATTTGTCTTGTTCCTGAAAGGATTTGAGGCAGCTTATGAGAACACACAGACGAGCAGAAGCGGCCGCGCTGTCAAGGAGCTGGCAGTCTCGCGGGGAAGAGATGAATAAACAACCGCAGCACGGCGCCGCAGGAGAGGCAGGGCCGCGGTACCAGGCCACCTGACATGGTCTCCAGCGGTCCGGGCGCCGCACTCGGCCACTGCCCCTGAGTAATGAGCCGACACGGTCACCTTCTTCTCGCCCCCGTCTGGGCTTGAAAACCAACGCGCCCACATCTGGAGCATATCTGGTCAAGACACTCTGCCCCCAAGTTCGAGCACTTGTGTTGAGCTGAGCCGTCGGTCACTGAGCCACCACGGTGCCCTGGTGCCCACATGCCCAGGCCAGGGGGGGCTGGGAAGGCAGCCAGGGCCCGGGGCTGCGCAGCGCGTTGTCTGTGTGTGTACCCGGGTCAGTCCCTCTGGGCCCGGGGTGAACGCGCAGAGTCAGGGCCGAAGCTGTCTCCGGCGCCCTGGTGTCCGGCGCAGCCGTGACCTGCCACAGCCTCGGGCTGGGCAGTGCGGAGGGGGCTGAGGGCGGGCAGGAGCCGGGATTGCAGCGTGGGGACGGCGGAGGGGACCAGCCGGGCTGCTTGGAGAATGTGGTCTTTTCAGAGCAGCCCTTTGAAATCGAGCAAGAATAACTTTAAACAATAAGATGCTTTTCTCTCCCCCTCCGCTGTTGCCCAGGCAACGCCAGAGTGCTCAACAACTGTTTAGTTTTTTAAGAAACCAAATCTCCCTCCCTTTGGTCAGCCACCGCCAGGAAGATGAAGAGGCGGCACAGGTGCCCCGTGCGGCCCATTGTGTGGGACCCGGGTCAGCGCCTGCAGCAGTGACATTTAAATCTGACGCTACGTATTATATATGAACCCCGCGCCGCACTCCTTCACGACTCTCGCTCCCTACCCTGGAAGGCTTCACTCTCCCGCCCCAGAATCCCTGCCCGTGCGTGGCTCTGGCTGGGGTGGGGGTGGTCACGGCCCAGAGGCTGGCCTCTGCCTGCAAAGCTGCTGGTGGCTGGCGTGGGTGCCGGGCGGCGATCTGTCCCCAACCCTCTGCATGCCGGACCCAGGACAACCCTCAACAGGCCAGGGGTCACCTCACCCGCCCAGGTAGTGTTTAACCCCAGAAGCTCTGCCAAAAGCCCTGCCTTTGAGGGGCCCGACAGAGCATACCGGCAGCTCACCTGGCTTACATTTTCCTGCTTGTAAAAGGCAGGTGGTGGCCATTACCCCTGTGGGAATAAGGACAGTGAGGGTGGTGCTTTGTTATCCCCGGGGTGCATATAAAGGAACCCAGGAGCAGAGCATTCCAAAAGCAGGCTGCTGGGTGTCAGGCACTTTCAAAGGGAAATCCTTACGACCGTCCAAGGAGGTAGGTGTAACCATGAGCCCATTTTCCAGAAGTGGAAACTGAGGCTCCAGGAGTTAAAGTGATAGCTAGTGGGTATGGCAGAATTTGAACCTGGGCCAGCCCAACGGCACAGCCTCGCGTCTCATCCCACACCACATTGGTGAGGCTCTGCTGGGGACAGGTGGGCAGACCTTCCTGGCTCCTGGGGCTTGGCCAGTGTTCTCTCTTGGTGCAGGGATCGGCTTCCCACTTTGCCGACATAGAGAGAAAATGATGAGCTTTGGCAAAGGAAGTCCTGAGTTGTGTGTCCTTAGGCAAGTCAAACAACATATTTAAAACCTCACTTTGCTTATCTGTAAAATGGGGACAATATGCAGCCGGCAGCACAGTTGGGAAGAAGCTACTAGCAACAGCTGCCACTTAGCACGCCCCTGTTTTGAGCAGTGTCTAGGTACATCATTTAATGATCACAATGACTCCAGACACAGGTACCATTTTCAGACGAAGAATGGCACTCCCAGGGAGATGGAGTCACACGGCTAGAAATTAAAGCTAATGAATATAAACCATGGGGACAGGGCCTGGCACATAGTAGGTTCAAAGCAGACTCTGGCTGGCTTCTCCCAGGAAGATAAATGGAGGGGCTTCTGTCTCCTGGGAAACAAAACATGGGGGACAGTTAAATTTAGAAAAGCCAAACCAGGTTAGAGCGAGCCCCTTATCCAGCTCAGCAGCAGAATCAGGATGGGAAATTGGCTTCAGACACAATGAAAACCTAGAAGGGGAAATCTCGACACATGTGAAATGGGAACGGCGGCAGGTGGGGGGTAGCGGGCCCTGGGCTGAGGAGGGGCTCCTGGGGTCCCTGGTCTCCACCTGGAGTCTCTGTAGGGGTGGGGGGAGGGTGCCAGCAGCAGCGGGGTCAGTTCCAGGCCCAAGCCTGGACCAAAGGAGGGAGTCCCACTCCTGGGACAGGTGGCCTTGCCCTGTCTGGGATCCCCAGAGGCTGTGCTGAGTCCCCAGCAGTGACAGCGAGCACGGGCAGATGACAAGCCGCCAAGGCGCAGGAATAACATTTCCTAGCTGACACTGCTGCCCCCTCTCCTCGGCCCTTTCTCTCTGAGGAAACCGGTGGACGTTTATTCCCCAGTGCCATCTCCCCCTGCAGAAGGTCCCTGTCCCCGCACGGCAGGCCCCAGCACGTCTCGTTTAGCAGCGCTAAATGGCACGCCCCGAGGTACAGCGACGGAAGGGGCCGGGGTAATGAACTCCCATTGGCTTCCTTCACGAGATCACTGCCTTAATTTACGAGGCCTGAGTGAGTCTCATTTCCCCAGTGCGCATTGAGTAATTAACTATTAATAAAAGCATTACTGAGTTAACCACGGGGGCATGTTTAATTCATGGGGCAGCCCAGGAACAGGATGGGAGGCTGGGGCTCAGTGGGGGATTCCTCCCAGAGCAAAATATTGCCAGCAGGATGCCTTCAGACCCTAGCACCTGCACGGGCCATTCTTTCTGTCCCTAACCAGAGGGGCCTAATCGCAGGAGGGTAGCAAGACTGCTGCCCCAAACTGGGAGAAGTGGAGAGAGCAGAGCTCTGAGAGGCGAGAGCCCCAGGTGGGTGGAAGGGCCCCCTGCTTGGTGGCTAACGAGGTGAGTGACCTTAGGCAAGTCACTTAGCCTCTCTGCACTCTTGTCTGGGAAGTGGGGAAGCCGGCTGCTAAGAACAACCACCTCTCAGGTAGGACTGCAGGGCAGGAAACCAAGGATTTCCCCATCCTTGGTAAAGGACCCATTGCTCTTCAGTATGGAGTTATTGATAGGACCGCCCTCCTCCCCTCCCCCACCTAGAGACGCAGGCCACTGTTGCCGTCATTGATTCCTGGTGGACACCTGCTTGTTCAACAGAACTGGTGGAAGAATCCCCAACAGGATACCTCCTGGGTGGGGACTTGTGGGCTTTTTGAAGGTGAATCAGTAGCCCCCTACCCCTCCTCACTCCCCAGGTACACCTCTGGCCACCATGGCAAACTGATTCTTACAGTGCCCAAGCACACCACCCTCCAGTTCACTCACACTCTGTGCCTTTGCTTCTTCTCTCCCCTATGGTACATCTTTCCTCTCTTTTTTTTTTTTTTTTTTTTGAGACAGAGTCTCGCTTTGTTGCCCAGGCTAGAGTGAGTGCCGTGGCGTCAGCCTAGCTCACAGCAACCTCAAACTCCTGGGCTCGAGTGATCCTTCTGCCTCAGCCTCCCGAGTAGCTGGGACTACAGGCATGCGCCACCATGCCTGGCTAATTTTTTCTATATATATTAGTTGGCCAATTAATTTCTTTCTATTTATAGTAGAGACGGGGTCTCACTCTTGCTCAGGCTGGTTTCGAACTCCTGACCTTGAGCAATCCGCCCGCCTCGGCCTCCCAAGAGCTAGGATTACAGGCGTGAGCCATAGCGCCCGGCCTCTTTCCTCTCTTATCTGCTTGGTAAACTTCTATCTAGTCTTCAAGACTCAATTCAAAAAGGTCAGCTCTTCCCGGAAGTCTTTGCTCTCCTAACACAGAATTGGTTGCTCCCTTTTCAGTAGCTCTCATACATTTGTCTCTTATGGCATCCATGCATCCACCCACCCATCCATCCACCCACCCATCCACTCACCCGTCCACCTATCCATCCACCCACCCATCCACCTATCCATCCACCCACCCATCCAATCACCCACCCCCATCCCACCCACACCAGTACCACCAACCATACAGCAAACACACACACACACCTATAATCACCACACCACCCATCCATTCCACCCACCCGACCCATCCATCCCACCCACCCATCCACTATCCAATCCACCCATCCACCATCACCCACCCCATCTACCTATCCATCCACACCGACACCATCCACCTATCCATCCACCCAGCCATCCACCTATCCCAGCCCGCCCCGCCACCCATCCACCCACACCATCCACCTATCCATCCACCCAACCATTCCCACCTATCCCATCCACCCACCCATACACTATCCATTCCGACCCCATGCCACCCACCCATCCCTATCGTATCCACCCACGCCATCGCACCCTATATCCACCCACCGCACCCACCCATCCACTTATCATCCGACGCCCATGCCACACATACCACCCACACCATCTACCCTATCATCCACCCACCCATCCACCTATCCATTCACCCACCCATCCATCTATCCATCCACCCACACATCCACCCCCCATCTACCTACTCATCCATCCACCCATCCATCCACCTAGCCATCCTTTTATATTTATTGAACACCTATAGTGTGCACCTCTGATCACATTGTTTTGAAGTTATGGATGAGTCCGGCCTTCCATAGGCCAGCAGTCCTTAATCTTTTAGGGGTCAAGGACACTCTCTCCCAGAACGCACATATGTACAAACAAGTCAGAAACCGCTTTCCTCTTCAGGGATCCCTGGTGGTCACTGAAGCTGGGCTGTGGGCCCCGGGTGTGGTAGGTGCTGCGATGCTGTCCCCTTTGGGAATGAAGGACTTACTCCCCCA